CATTCAACCAAAGTGTCTGTCAATTCTGTGGATGGGTGAAGGTTGATACGAACAAAGTTGCTATTCCCATATTAGAAAGAATTGGAATTCTTTATAGAGTTACGAATGATAGTGTGTAAACTGTAAATTGATTTAAGACCGGCTCAGCTTACATATGTCTATCGAAACCATTCGACGCTAATTGTTATGGATAATAGTACAGTAGAGCATCGATTATCCGACCTCCGATTAACCGTCACATCGGTTAACCGACCGTTCTAGTCGGCAAATTCAAATATCCGCTAGTGATGTGGCGCTACAACATCAATGAAAATTCAACGCGAAGTAGGTTAATAGCGATATACTAATATACTAATTACATGAGATATACTAATATACTATACTAATAATGTATTTTTTCATATTTTTCGGTTATCCGTTTTTTCAGTTAACCGACCAACCCCAGTCCCCAATTGAGTCGGATAATCGATGCTCTACTGTAATTAGTACTGTGACCATACGTTCTTTATTTAAGAGGACAATCCTTTATTTCACTAGTATGCCTTTTAGATTTTTTTTAAATCTAAAATGATCATTTTGTCTTTTGTTTTGTGAATTTAAATGGTAAATTGAATATTAGTGCGGTGTGCGGACACCAATATTTAATTCACCTAATTTATTTTACGCAATTTATAAATTTCACCAAAGTTGCATTGATTATTTAAATAGCCGGGAGCAGCTTTTTCGTGGAAATGAAGCTATTTGAATGGGTCCTACGCAAGAAACTCCTCTATGGGGAAGAAGATAGAGGTAAACGTTTTGTTCATTTTCAGTTCCTGGAACTTAAATTTAAATGACGGCGAGCTATTTGACGAAGTCTCGTGTGTATTATTAAAATATATCCTACGAGCAATTATTTATTGTGACATCGTCACAATGCCGGTCGGGTTGCAATTTTTACAGAGACAAGACACTACTAATTTAAGGTGGAGAGCCTTAAATTAGTAGTATCTTGCCTCTGTATATCATACTTTTTATGTTAGCAATAGAGTCGTGTTGGTCATCTAATTCCTTTTAGGGGAAAATTTTCGAATTGAATTCACGTGGCTTCCGGCATATTTTGCATAAGAGGTTTGTATATAGTTAATTGAGGTTTCCTGCCCAGAAGATTTCCATATCTGGTTTCCGCTTTCATCTATCTAACCTCGTTCTCGAGATTAAGGAAGGACAGACAGACAGCGACTCTGGGAATTTATAGATCTACAATTTTTTTTCAAATTACAGCCCAAACATCTATAGCTTATTAAAAATATTGGCAACGTTTCCAGTAACAACATGTGTCAGTGAAAGGACATTTTCCATCTTACCATTTAGATTTAAGATCTACCATGACACAATCAGGATTGAATGAACTGGCTTTGTATATATACACAGAGAGATTAATGTAACCATGACTGAAGTAATTCAAGAGCTTTCTAAAAAAGAAAAGAAAACTGGACTTCATTCTTTAAATAAATTTTTATAATTACCTAATGAATTTTACTGAATTTACAGTAAAAGTTTTCATTTGTTCAACTCAGCCTCCCCCAAAATTATATTCTGAGTGTGAAACTGAATGGGACAATTAAACAAGAACCAGTCACTACTTGGTAAAAAGTGGCCCAATCACATAGCAAACAAATATACAACATTTTCATATTGCTTTTCCTGCTCTGGCAGAGAAAACTAAAATCCTCTTACCTCCTCTTCATATGAAGCTTGGTTTGATGAAAAACTTTAAAAAGTATGAACAGAGAAGGAAAAGGTTTTCCTGCCAACCTAGGAGCTGTTTCTGATGGCTTTGCATATCTGAAGCAAAAGTTTTCCCATCTGAGTGATGTAAAAATAGAGAAGGGAATTTTTGTTGATTCCCAAGTAAGACAGATTTTGAAAGATCCTAGTTTCAAGGAAAAACTTAAGCCAATGGAAAGGACAGCATGGGATGCATTCAAAAATGTGAGCAAGAATTTTTGGATAATGTATGAGCTAACAAATACAAGAAAATTGTAGAGAGATTAGTAATATACTACTAAACACTGGGTTGTAATATGTCATTCAAGATGCATTTTCTGCATTCCCATTTAGATATTTTTCCTGCCAACCTAGGAGCCGTTTCTGATGAACATGGAGAAAGGTTTCATCAGTTTCTTTCTCAAATGGAAAAGCAGTAAAAGTGGAAGGTGGAACAAGAACATGTTAGTGAATTACTGCTGGACTCTACAATGACACACTTAAGAAGAATATAAAAGGAAGAAAATATGTTGTTAAGTATTTCAGTTTTAAGTGTATAGAATTATGAAAAAGGAGTAATTAATATAAATCTGTTTGTATCTAATTAGCCAATTATCAATATGTATAGCCAATAAATGACACTTTAAACAGAAAATGTTTTCCTTCAAAAACCTCATTTCTGTTAAGAGTGGAGGGTGTTAGATCAATTCTGTTGTCAAATTTGGATTCAGCACCATTGAAACTATAAAAATCATTAATAATGTTTGACAGGAGCAAAAATAAACTTTCTTTTTCTAAAAAATACGTATAATCAAGCAAAATAAATATAATTAAACTATATTTTGGTTCACCAAATTACTAATAAGAGTTTCTATACACCTGCAGAAGCAAGATTACAGAATTTTCAAGAATTTTTTAATATGTACTTGTTCATTTTTGCTTTTCTGAAGATAAATGAAATAACCCAAACTTCTTGAAAGCTATTTAACTGTCATTTTTATATATTCAATTAATAAATTTCCCTCATAGAAATTAGGAGTTTATTGCATTACAACTAGAAACAGTGAATTCAGCCTGAAAACTGTAAACATAGGGTATAATAGTAGAAACAATACTCGGATATTGTATTAACATAAGCATGATGGTTGTCTTAATAGAAACAACATTGCACTTGCTTGTTTTGAAAGTGTTTCTAATGTTGAGATTGCATAAAGCTTGAATTATCAAGTGTGTTATCTCCCCCTTGTATACCTCTGTCATAGTGAAGAAAAGTATTTAAACAAAAGCTTAAAGAGCACTTAAACAGTGCTCTTTAAGCTTTTGTTTAAATACTTTTAATGCCCTAAAGATGCTGTTTCTTTCTTCACATCTTGGAGTAGCCTTCATCATGCTGCTAAAATCATTTGGGTGGTTGTTTTTATTTAATTTTTATTTTTTAATAAACCATTGTAATCATTTAAATATCTTATTTAAAGATGAAACTAACAATTGTAAATAAATATATTAAAAACAAAATAAATTAAAAGGAAAATAATTAATTGTGTGATAATATATTTGAATAAATAAGAAAAACTTTAATTCGAAAATTAGTCGTACTTGAGGGTTTAATTTAGTATGACGATGGCAAGTGGCTTCGAAATCTAAAACCAAAAAATAATCAAACATGGCGGCCATCAGAACGAACTGTTCCTTAATGTAAACATAACTTCTTATTGGTCAATTGTGTGACGTCACTCGCAAGATTTTCATTTTAAATATTTAACTACGTATTTATCATAAAATTTTTATTGTTATTAATAAATATATCGATTATTAATTATATATAAGAAAATAAAATTGAAGAAATAGTTAATATTAGAGAATAAACGAAATTTTATTGCTTTCTGATTGGACGCATGAATTTGAATTTTCAGTTGTCATTTGTGGATGATTTGGAAGAGAATCGTAAGTTGAGTTGAGCGATTAGTATCATTTTTAGTACGTTTTTTAAGTTTATAATCATGCCAAACAGTAAACAGACTGAGTTAAATAAGCAAAATAAAGAAAAGGACGCGAAAACTACGTCTTTAGACGACGAGAATGTTGATGATGAAACTAACCATCTGAGTTCGGCGGAAGGCTCTGATAAAGGTAGTGATCACGAAGATGAGAAAACAAAAGAATTGAAAGAGGAGGAATCTATTGAAGAAGATTCATCGGAAAATAAGGCAGAAAGAAAAGGTAATTCGAAGAAGGGTGCAAAAGATAAAAAAACAGTAGGGATTGATTCAGAATCTTCAATTTTGGTAGAAGCGTCTTCACTTCCCAATGGTTGGAGTAGANAGCAAATTAATAATATATTAATAATAATAAATAATTTTATTAATAAATTTAATAATTAATCTAACACTTATGCTGTTAAAAAAATATTGTAAAAAGTCTTTTAATTAACGTGTAACTAGCAAAAAAAGGCAATAATTTAGATTAAGGGATTGTCCTAACAAGAGTTTTTTTTTAATCAGGGTCTGTTAATTGATGACGTTTTCATACATTCCATAGGAGAATATTTTGGCCGACGTAGGACACAAAGATCATTAGAAGAAGAACATCAGAAGAATATTAGTTCAGTAAACGAAGGCAGCTTTGTTGAAAGAGAGATTTTTAGTTACTATGTTTATATTATAGACCAGTGTTTCCCAACATTTTTGGATTGATGGCTGGATGGCCGAACGGACAAGATGGTAGCTTACCGCTCTGAGGGGACTCGAAATCGAATCTGGACGGGTCGAAAAATCCCCAGGAATTTTTCGGGAGGTAGTCCGTCCGGATATGCGGGCCCCGTCCCTCACTACTCATCCGCCCATTGTGGGCCTGTCCGAACCCATAATGGGCTTGCTAAAAAGATGCCTTTTTAGTGCCCACAGGCCGGAAAGAGTAAAAAAAAAAAAAAAAAAAAAAAAAAACAGGAAACCGTAGATGCAAGTTAAACAGAAGCGTAAAGCTGTAAAAAGTGTTTATTTTGGAAGTATTCTTTTTAAATACCTGTACTATTAACGTAATAAAAGTTATATTAACAGCTGTGTTTATTTCTGATTGAACATATTTAATAAAATGCTGATTTTGCGTACTGTATATCTAAAATTTTAAAGGAAAAAATAAAATTGTGCAATTTCACCCATCCGAAACAAACATCTGAATATTGATTTGTCATTATTATTTAGAAATATTAGTATTTTAAATAATTGATTACTGTCTAACGAAATTCTCTGTAAAGGACTTTAAAAATGGAGTGTTGGACCAGACTCGAAAACTGGCAACCTTACCATACACTTTTCCTATCATCTGTATTACGAAAGAATAGAAATATGGCTGTGTGCAGAGTGGGCCAACTTTTACCGAAACAAACATGCGTATTCTTATGCGATATGCAAGAAAAATTTCGTCCAACTATCAAGTATTTTAACGAAATCGTTCAAGTTTCTTCTAGAATATTAAAAGGAGCCAAAGCGTTAGATATACCCGTCATTGTAACCGAACAATATCGAAAAGGTATATCAGCGAAATCTCATCATTTATATAAATATATATATATCAATTATTATATATAGCATATAACAACAGAGTAGTAATTTCAAGTATAAAAACTTTTCGATGATAATTACAGCCATAAAACTAATTACATTTACAATTCTGAACTATATTTAAGATACATTATAAAGATATTGTTGCTTGTATTGTAATGATTACCATCATCAGATTAATGCATTAATTTGAGATCAGAAATTGGCATAGTCGGTATACAACTAACTAATGTTAATTGGAAAACCATTGGAAGTTTACTGTCACTAATATTAGCCACAAAAGCATGGTAATAAATCTGAATCATTAAAATCTGAAAGAAGAATTATGGTACTCAAGCAGGGCCGTGCGGTAGATTTTCTCAGATGATGAAAGTCTTTGAAATGCCGCTTATGCCAAACCTTAAATGATGCTTATGATGCCCCATTACGGTGCCGCCTGATGCGGCCGCATCTCTGCATCATAGCACAGCACGGTCCTGTACTCAAGAATATAGAAATAATACCAAAATTATAAATACTTTTTTTAAATTAATTACAAAACAGAAATATTGAAAATTTCATGCAAATTGCAAAATATAATTTTTATTTTATTCGATTAAAAATATACATTTAATATTTGATTTATAAAACAATTTATCATGAAAGGAAAAACAAATATATGTTTAACATTTCTAAGATTCTACCAAATGTAAGAAGAATATTGTTTATTTTCATTTAATATATTTAATAAAATAGAATGTTTATATGAAGCTGCTGATTATCTTCATAGTCATCTACATTTTATTTATTCAATAGTCATGGATTGAATGAATATTATAATTACTGTATTTCTTTCAGTACAATACAATATCTTAGTAAATATAAACTAACAAGATTTTTAACATTGTTAGGTAATTACATATAAACAGACACTTTATTTAAATTGAATACAATAAGTTAATATCATGTACAGTACTGTACATATAGAAGTCATTCCTCATTTGACAATTATTTGTATGCTACTTAGAACAGAAGAGAAAAGATACAATTCAAGCATTATAAAAATTATATAAACAATAAAGAAAGAAAGGGGTTTTAATTAGATTTGCCAGATTTATACAACTGGATTAAAGAACACTTATAATCTCTTATTTCCTCTATTGACTTATAATCTCCAAAATGTAATAGCATCAATGCTCCATATATTGCAAAATTTTGAATTTGACAAAACTTTTATATATAGAAGTTTTCTTGTCAAATTCAAATTTTTTGGTCCATGGAAACTGAGTATCAGTTTTATAGCAGGCATAAATTACAGGGGTTATAGAGATAAACTGAAGAAATAGTCTAGTATTTCTTTTTTTTTCCCCCAGCCATCACTAAGCCTATTAGCTACAGTTTAAGTGTAAAAATAACTAGCACTTAAGATTACATTATGAAAGCAAAAGCATATACCGTATTTACTTGCATATAAGATGAGGTTTTTATTCATTTATCACAGCTTCAAATTCCTAGGTCATCCTATATGCATGAGCAAAAGATTCTTTGCATTTTTGCAAATAACTTTTGTGAACCATGTATTCACATTTTTTACCAGATGCTTACTCTCTTGTATTTAAAAACATAAGTATTTTATCTAGGTCATTTGAATCATTCTTGTATATTGTTAGGAGTAAAGATGAATAGCAATAGGAAAAGCAAAGCTTGAATTAAATTCCAGATTGAAATTCCAAAATCATATAGGAGCATGATATAAGTTTTAATCCATTCCCATGTGAAAACAGATGATTATTCGGAAATCATAATTCAGAGAAACTCATAAGTGTAATTGACGGAGAGTGGATTCAACTGTTAAGAATAGGAAAAAAGAAAAAAAGGTTCCTGATTGTCTAGCTTTACATGAACTAATTATGTTGTCGATTTTGCAAGATTTTTCCGTAAAGTTTTTAAAATGCTAGTAATTTTTGCAGGATAATGTGTGCATTTACGTTCATTTGATATTTTACTTGTGATTAAACAAAATAAAATTAGAATTGTATTAATAAATCTAATTTTTCTTTATTTTGATGTTTAAAGTCACATCTTATCCTATATGTGAGGTCGTCTTATATTTGAATAAATATGGCATTATATATTGAAAATGGGCATTGCTGACTATGATGAGAGGGCTTAACACCCTACCTACAGATGTGCTGAGTATAAAGCAAAATACATGTTGACATACACATTCATTCATACAGAATTTTCTTCCTTTTTTTTTTGACCTCTTGATATGGTATCATTACACACTAAAAATCCCTTCACCGTGTAATAATACCATTTATGAAATTTAGACTTACTGAGAGCTCAAGAAGCTTTAAACATGTAATTTGTAAATGATAACTCTTTTAATACTGAATATGCATGATTAAATTAGTCCAAATTTAGTATCAAACAAGAGTCTAAATATTCCAAATAAATTCAATGTCTGATCAAAGTTTTTAATCAACAGTTTTTGAGGTTTACACTTATAGTGTAGTTATTTTAATTAAAAAAAAAGGAAAATTCAAAATTGTTTGTTTCTTAGTGGATAAAATAACCCACTATATTTCTTTCTAGTCCAAACAGTCTTCTCAGAAAGTTTATTTGAAAGCATTCCATTTCATTTAAAAAGTCCAGTCCCCAAATTGGGTTTGCATATAAAATGGAAGAGCCCAGTAAAATATTAAACATAGAACATAAGTTTATTAAATTATTAGTTAAAGGAATAATTTTGTTACATATTTCAGGTGGTCATCAAATGATTAATTTCAAGCAAATTTGACTCCTAGATGAATAGACTCATCAATCAAGATTTCTTTCAGGAATGTTTGAGAGAGTAATATTCCTAGAGATTGAAAAATAGCCCCTCATATAAATAACCCCCATACAAACAGATTTTAAAATCACAAATGATTATTGTTTATATACTCATATATTAATTTATTGATCAGTTGCATTAATCATTCCCCTCAAATCAGAAAAATACCCCCCAGAGAATGTTTTCTGAAAGAAACATTGTTGACCATCTCAAGACGTTGATTAGCTAAATAGAATCCTGTTTCTTGTTTTGAAAGTTTTTTGTTGTTATAAAAAATTAATATTCTTGTTTATTGATTATTAATATTTAATTGAATGTGTTCCAGATAATCCATAAGCAGAGTTAACTTTTGCTGAAGACTACTTCAGTAGGAGTTAAAATGACTGTGTCACCTGCATATTGAATTAAATGTGTTTTATTGCAGAGAGCTTGAATGAGTCTAAGATTATTCAAAGTACTCACTTTTCTCCTCAATAAAACATACAGAAGAATTTGAAATTTCTAGTGCCTGGAAATCGTGGTACAAGATCCCTTAGAAGGCATGGAATGAACTGAATAAAATAAATAGATCACAAGGCACTTGGAACCTTTTGTGATTTATTTATTTTGTTTTAATTTGTCATCTCAACCTGGTTTATTAAAATATAATAATTGATCTCAACTTGGTTTAATGGCTTATTTAATGTTATGAACTCCAATTGGAACATTCCATATGTAAGATTTGAACTTTCGGTTTGAATCTATTGATACAATAGAGTCCTGCTAGTCTGAACTAATTGGGACTGAGCCCTGTTCGGATTAGCCGAATAATTAAATAATACAGAAGCAAGCAGTAAAACAGGTCTGGTTTATATAGATCCAACACCATCAATGACTTTTGTTTCTATTTTTGTGTGTAAGTACTGTATAGATCTGCTGTTTTAATAGGCCATGTCAAACACTAATTTATTAATTTATAATTAACTTGTTAATGATTAACTTATATTCTTGAATTGTTCTATATTTAACTCATAATTCTCATACAGTATACAGATTTAGCCAGTATCTATTTTCAAAATAAAACAAAATTTTTCAAACTATTTGAGTTGAAATTATTGTGATATCAAAAACAGTTTACAGAACACTAAATATTTTTATCATCCATAAGGGCCCACAATTATATCAGTAGTTTATGAGGGGGGGAATTTATTTGTATCTGATGATTGCTGGCAATAGTGGAGAGAGAGTGAGCCTTTGATGATGTAAGATTGCACCTATCATTTATTTTACCTTGTCATCAAAGAAAGGGCTGAAAATAATTTTTGTGTATTTGCAAATGGTTTTAATCTCTGCCCTTATGACATAATAAATACTTGGTGACTGATAAATACTTGGCAATGATGGAGGAGGAGATCAAAAATGGGAAAATATTTGCTGATTTAATACTTAAATGGCTCCTTAGACAAAATACTAATAATTTATAAGTCAGTTTGATAAATAATATAATAAAAATAATATTTGATAAGCATTTTTTATGATTATTATGTATCATTTTCAGATCCAAACTTAACAAATTTAAAATTGAACATAAAAACCAATAAAAATTTTAAATAATTCATAAACTTTCTAATTACATTCAAAATTTTCATTTTTTAGTTATATGCATCATCAGTGGAACAGGGTTTAATTATGAATTAGTTCTACCAAAAACAATTATGCATCTAATGATTTTAAATTTCTTTCAGTTTGAGTTAGGAATCAGATCCACTCACAGTGCTTGTTCCAAAAAATGGTTATAGCCTATAAGTTCTCATGTTTTTGAATTTTGTTCCAATGCGTAATTTTGATAAGTGGTCTGAACATGATCAAAATCTTTGTCTAGTGCAGGAGTGCCCAAACTACAGCCTGAGCCAAATCCAGCATACAAACATATTTGACACATCTTACAAATCTATCTTGTAAATAATTGTTAACAAAGTTGAATTGTTGAGTATGAACTGTTTGACCAATAGTTTATGACTATAATTTGAGTTTCATTGAGTAACTATTACTGTTACAAATGATAGAAATAGGCCCACTTTTTATATATATTGAGTATATAAAGTATTTGTGGTCCACCTATGTAGGACTCATGTACAATTTGTCCCACAGTTGAAAAGTTTGAAATCACTGGTGAATTGAATTCATTTTGCTGGAATAAAAAGTTTTGTTTATCTATAGAACATCTTAATTTAGTTTTAAATTACAGTAATTACATGTAAGTGATGTAACAAAAATCTGCTTTGTTAGATCACTTTAAATGTCAGTTTTCCAACAATGCAGATTTTTTTTAATTTTAAAGAAATTTGGAGTTTTTCATCATTTATAATAACACCACCATACATTAAATAAAAAAGATAATTTTTCCAAAATTGCTTGAATCATGCCTATGGCATCTCAACTCAAATATTTGATAAAATACTGCTTTGAAATATTATAGATTAGAGAATTATACATTTCATATCATTTTTCAGAGCATTTCATAAAAATTTTTTTAAGTAATAAATATTAATTGTTCCTTCAATATATATATTTTTATTATTATCTAAATACTGCAAAAAACAAATTAAGAAAAGCAATAATATATAATATTATTTAAAATAAAATATTGGAAAAATCTATCAATTTAATAAACTTAATTAATTAAATGCTAAAATTTGTTGATTTATAACTATCCCAGCATTTAAACAGCAAAGATTTGACTAATCTTTGCTGTTTAAATGAGGAAATACAGCAAATAAAATGATACATTGTATAGTGTATCAGAAAATTGATTTTGAGATTAAATAAAATTTACTAACACTCCAAAAGCCTTAATCAAAAATCAAACACAACTGCTTTAATTAGAGTATGATATCTAATATATAAACATCCAAGTGCTGTGGATTCCAAGTTCTTGAAGCTGGATTGAAAAAGTCAAAGTATTTGGATGTTTGTGTTAGATATCATACTCCAATTAAAGCAATTGTGTTTGATTTTTGATTGAGATGAAATGCTACATAAAAAGGTAACTCCACAAACAAAAATTAAAATCAAAACTAATTCATTAAAGTAGTTTTAATTTTGAAATATCTCATATTAGAAATATTTTCAAAAGATTTCTAAAATGATCTCTAATAACATTTGCAATCAAATTTTCAAATCCCAAAAATAACACAAACACATTTTATTTGTATCCAGCAAATAAGTTTAATGAATAAAAAAAAATTTTCAACCTCTACTTATAAGTCTTCAGTTACAAAATAGAATGATTTAAGAAATCAAACTAGTTAACAGAATCAAACACACAAATGATATTTGATGCTGAATAGAATAAAATACAAAATTTTTAAAATTTAACACAAATTAATGAGAAACTAACATACGTTCAACCTCATACATCAAACTCTCAACTTTCAGATCATTAATATGAAGAGCCTACACACAATGCACATGCATCACAGACACCATAAGAGAACTTGACTACATCGAGAAGCGTACCTAACACCATGGCTATCCAACTATCAATAATATGAAATTAATTTCTGCATACAATTCTATAACATCTACACCTTTACAACTATACCATAGCTGGAAATTTACATTTAGCTATTTTCCAATGCTAAGGAGCCCAAGAAAAATCATTCCTATACTCAAGGAGTCTATACCATCACACTGGAGGTCAATATTTAACCTAAGCTTCTCTATACAGAGAAGCCTATGGTATAGTTGTAAAGGTGTAGATGTTATAGAATTGTATGCAGAAATTAATTTCATATTTTTAAAGTTACATAAGGCTTCTCTATACAGAGAAGCCTTATGTAACTTTAATTAATTGTGTATTGCTGTTCTTTGAACCTTTTTTTAAAGTTACATAAGGCTTCTCTATACAGAGAAGCCTTATGTAACTTTAAAAAAAGGTTCAAAGAACAGCAATACACAATTAACAACATGAACAACAGTCCTAGCAGTGCGCCAAACAACAAGGCATACAGATTGCATGGGAGAATGCCAAGTAATTCAACCAACTATGAACAGTAACAACCTCAGATCTTGGAGATGCTCAAAATTTATAAGGCCCATCAAAAACAGAGATGCAGACACTATCATCAGCATGGAGATCTATTTACAAACTTTCACCTTGTCTTACTCTGTTTTATTTTATGTAAACAGAGTAAGACAAGGTCAAAGTTCTACATACATTGATAACTGTAATGTGTATCTAAATACATGCATATTATATATATACATATTTTTAATGTTATTTTCTCCTTGCTTTGTGTTAAATTTTAAAAATTTTATATTTTATAGTTTTCAACATCAAATATCATTTGTATGTTTGATTCTGTTAACTAGCTTGATTTCTTAAATCATTCTATTTTGTAACTGAAGAAGACCTATAAATAGGGGTCAAAAACACTTTTTAATTCATTAAAACTCATTTGCTGGATACTAATAAGGTGTGTTTCCATTATTTCTTTGATTCTCATTCAGTTTCTAAGTATATCATTTGTTTAAAATTGCCAAATATGGCAAAATATTTACTGAAATTTCTCTCTAAATATGAGAACAATATCATGGATTGCATCTTATCCTTAAATGCTAGTAAAAATATCTTATACCAGTGGTTCCCAAAGTGTGCAATGTGGCCCCCCCTGCAAGGAAGCTGCAGCGCCCTAACAAAGCACCATAAAATGCTATAAAATTTTTATAATTTTACTTAATTTTAAAAACANTACATAAGGCTTCTCTATACAGAGAAGCCTTATGTAACTTTAAAAAAAGGTTCAAAGAACAGCAATACACAATTAACAACATGAACAACAGTCCTAGCAGTGCGCCAAACAACAAGGCATACAGATTGCATGGGAGAATGCCAAGTAATTCAACCAACTATGAACAGTAACAACCTCAGATCTTGGAGATGCTCAAAATTTATAAGGCCCATCAAAAACAGAGATGCAGACACTATCATCAGCATGGAGATCTATTTACAAACTTTCACCTTGTCTTACTCTGTTTTATTTTATGTAAACAGAGTAAGACAAGGTCAAAGTTCTACATACATTGATAACTGTAATGTGTATCTAAATACATGCATATTATATATATACATATTTTTAATGTTATTTTCTCCTTGCTTTGTGTTAAATTTTAAAAATTTTATATTTTATAGTTTTCAACATCAAATATCATTTGTATGTTTGATTCTGTTAACTAGCTTGATTTCTTAAATCATTCTATTTTGTAACTGAAGAAGACCTATAAATAGGGGTCAAAAACACTTTTTAATTCATTAAAACTCATTTGCTGGATACTAATAAGGTGTGTTTCCATTATTTCTTTGATTCTCATTCAGTTTCTAAGTATATCATTTGTTTAAAATTGCCAAATATGGCAAAATATTTACTGAAATTTCTCTCTAAATATGAGAACAATATCATGGATTGCATCTTATCCTTAAATGCTAGTAAAAATATCTTATACCAGTGGTTCCCAAAGTGTGCAATGTGGCCCCCCCTGCAAGGAAGCTGCAGCGCCCTAACAAAGCACCATAAAATGCTATAAAATTTTTATAATTTTACTTAATTTTAAAAACATTGGTTATTTTGCAAATTGTACTTGTTAGAATTTGACATAAGGGCATCTTGGTAAAATCTGGATTTAGCAAGGGTGCTGCAAATCAAAGAAGTTTGGGAACCACTGTCTTATACCATAAAATAGCTCAACTAATCTAACATATCAACTAAATTTGTATCTAATTATCTATAAAATATAAATTTTATAATCAATACATATCCAACTTAAATGAACCTAACAACAGTTTTTAAAAACTATTTATATCAGTTCTGCTGATGAACATTGTAAAAACTTTTATTGTAGTAAAGAAATTTATTACATTATAGAAATCTAACTTTTTAATATTTATTTTTAAAAGTAATGACTATTCATTTTAATTTTTTATAGGTCTTGGTCCTACTGTATCAGAATTAGGAATTGCAGATTATGCAGATATTAAACCTTTTCATAAAACACAGTTTTCAATGCTGACAGATGATGTAATTAAAACACTAAAATCAAAATCTGATGATATTAAATCAGTTGTTTTGTGTGGTATTGAAACCCATGTTTGTATACAAGGAACTACATTATCATTGATAAAAAATGGCTATGATGTTCATGTTGTAGTTGATGCCTGTTCTTCTAGAAGCATGATTGATAGGTAAGAATGTTTATTCAAGTATATGTGGAATTTAAATAAGTATCAATACAATGCAACTATTTAAATTATTTATTCTTACATTAATATATATTTTGTTTTAAAAGAATAAACACATTCTAATTGAAGTATTTATGATATGCTGTAAATTATTTACATTCCTTCTATTCTGTCATATTTCTTTGTTTATTAGATACCATTGCAAGATTAAACAGAATTTTAAAGATTAAAAAAAAATATCATTATAAGAATTTCTTTATATCGTTGGTGCACAAGAATAGTGACACAACTTAGAAAAACAGATCTTCCAGAACAGCCATTTAAAAGTTTCTTGTTTCCTGCAAGGCTTTGTCATGATCTTGGATTTTTAAAATTTTCAAATCTTTTTTGGAGATAAATATTAGTGCTCGTTCTTCCACATAAAAATATGGGGAGTTTGCTATACATTTCTACAATAAACTCAAAATTGGAAATTTTTGAGTTGTGTCACTATTCTTGTGCACCAACGATATGTGAAGAATGTTTTAATTTAAATGTTTGATAAATCAACATTTAAAGGCATGCATAAAGATTGTGATGGAAATTCACTCTTATTTTGAACTTTTTACTCTAGTCACATACCATATACAACTGAATCTAATCTGTCTAATTTAAAAATCCAGTTATGTAAAATATGTTTGATACTGAAACGTCTGTCTGTTTCATAATTATATATCAAAAATGATGTGTCTAGATAAAAACTTCCCAACAAGATCGATGAGCAAACTAGATATATATTGTATACGTATATATATATATATTNCGAACATACTTTACATACTCTGGATGGATGCTTTTTTTTCTCTGTAGGTGGTATGAGACTAGGAAAATGCCGTTCTGATAAACGTAATGGATTTTCATGTGATGGTCGACCGCGGCGAACTAGATGTCTGCTTGTGTGATACTTTTCTATCACTTCTCTGATTACAGACATACGAAAATCTAAAAATGATATTTGTATTTTCGTATGTTTTCGATATAAAATACAGGCCTTATATAATGTAATATCCATCATATGAAAAAACACTTTTTTGTACCATTTCACCGTTTTTCTCATGCACGGATAATTGTGTTTTACTCCGTCACAGAGATCGATTCCACCCATATTGCGATTATAATCTAGTATACAATTTGGTTTTATAATTACTTTATCTAAATTAACCTAAATTAAATAAATATTCAATAACTTCTAACTTGTTTAGAGAGCTGTGTCTACTACTTCCTGCCATGTCGAAAAACAGAAACGAAATGGTCTAATTTTCTTTGTGATTTCAAACAAAGAACTATTCCTAGAATTTCGACAACCTGCTGAGAAAAACTAGTTAAAATAACGGTTCTTCTGATATACGTCACTTACTTGTAAACAACATACAAGTAGCGACATCTTATGTTAAAAAACGTTCCGATGTAAACACGTAAATTTTCGGGATCGCCCACACAGGTAAATGAGGTCAACCCGAAAATTTTCGGGATCAACGTTCAACAGGTTAAAGAGAAAGTAATATCACAAGAACTTCTCAACTGTATACAAAAACAGGCAGAGGAAATAGCACCCACAGAACTAATTGTAAATGTGATTGCAGAACCTGAGAACGATAGAACATATACAGTGCACGATAACCAGTATGGTATACAACCCATAACGGACTGTGTAGAAGATATAGACCAGCTGACACGAAATATAGTAGCAGATGAGGATCAAGAACCTACAGTTTTGCAGTTTCTTTGGATGTTGGCTGAAACAAAAGAAATCATGTTTGAGGAGCAGTTTAAAAGCTAAAGCTAAACTTTTTTCATTATTTACATGTGTAGGTCATTTCATTGTTATCCATATTTGATATCATCATTTATCACATAATGCCATGACGCTCTTGTCTGTCTGCTACAATTGTGAAGAATTAACGCGATTGGTAAAGTGTAGTGACAGCGGGCCAATAGAGAGCAGGGTCCTTGCCATAATGTGGTTTGCACGCCAATTTTCGTACATGCGTTAATCAAGCCGAATAGTTTGGCTGAATATACTATTCATTGCAACACTAGTATAAATACATATGCTATCCTGGTCTTGCTTTACTCATTTGGTATAATCAACTATAAAAATAATGACCTAAGGAAAATAGATGTCAAAACATGAAAGTTACTAGCAATTAAAAAGGCACATCAGCAAAAAGCAGAGGTAGAAAGATTGTATTTGCTAGTAAATCAAAGAGGAAGAAGACTATTAAATATAGAGTACATATATAAACCACAAATAGTTAAATGTAAACAATACTTAAAAGAGGAAAGAGATCATTTGATCAAAGTAATAGTAAAGCATGATATAGGTAGGGATAAATATTCAATAATAAAAGAAGTAGAAGAGATAGAAGGTGAATTATATTTACCATGAGGAAAAATACATACAGATGAAGAAATTAAAAAATCAATAGTAAAACGGTGTAATGTTGTTTGGAGAAATAAACAATTACACTGTCAATTTCCTAAAAAGGTGTTAGATCAGGGTAATATAGATAGAAAGCTTACATTTGAATGGATTAAAAAGCAACAAACAGCCCCAAGTATTGACTCATCAATATTTTCTATACAGGACCAGGCTGTTATGACACGACAATATCAACGTGACATATTAAAGGAGCCAGTGGATGGGAAATGTCGCCTATGTGCAACTAAAGACGAGACCACGCAGCATATTATATTGTGAAAGTTAAAGATGTACGAGACAAATCGTTCCAACGAATATCAATTAAACAATAATTTATTACAACAGGGATTAACAGGTAACACAGAGATGCCCGTCAGAGACAAATACACAGATATACAACAGGTCTCTACTCTCGTCCGGAATCTTACAATTTTTAATTATCACGATATAGGTTCTAATCACTAACTTATAATTAACTTACATCTAACTTAATCTAACACTATACTAATAAGAGGAAAAGGAAGGAAGGAAAGAAAAGGTCTACCGGTAGTTAGCACAGGAGGTCCTGATGGTGGTTTCCGATAATTGCGGGGGTTTTCTCGGCCGACTTTGGTATATTAAACATTCCTAGTATGAAATTTGGCACTTAGTTTCCGTAGACTACTATCTCTCATCAATCAAGTCACTAGTCCTCTTCTCTTCTCTTTGGACTACGCTAAACTTCGCACATTGGGCAGGTTCTTTGTCTTAAGCCTGACTTAATGTCCCGACGATATTTTCTTAACCCTTTCTCCTCCTCGTCCAGGCAAAAAGTGTCCTTCTTACCCCTTTGTTCACCTTGTGTACCCCACGGGCAGGGCCGCGCCCTGTTCACGTCGGTAAGCCACCAATCAGGACCCACGAAATTCCCGCTCCTGATCGGGTGACCGGAAATGGTCATTAGTAGAAAGAAGAAGGAAGGAAAAGAACAAAGAATCTTAAATCTAAATACTATAACTATGTATATACAAAATGGCGGACAGCCACAATATCAGGATGTGAAAAACTGGATGGGACTTGTTATGTAAGACGTCGTAATAACCTTGCCCAGTACATCTACTGGTGACTGGCCTGAAAACATAAAATAGAAGTTGCTGACCAATGGTGGAAGGAAATATTACTCCAGCCATAAGTTAAGGAAAATGGTTCAGCCAAGATACTATGGGAAATGCCTATCCAAACTGATGTCACTGTATCTCACAATAGACCAGATTTAATTTATGTTGATAAAAATCAGAATAAAACATTTTTAATAGATATAACTGTACCATCAGATTATAACATTGGTGCTAAAGAAATTGAAAAATTGAGTAAATATCATTTTTTGAAATTGGAAGCTAACCACCTGTGGAATACACAGACAACTGTTGTTCCAATAGTATCAATAATAGGAGCAACAGGAATAATAGCGAAAAACATAAAGAAATAAATAGATCAATTAGAATCCAACATTGATATTAGTATTCTTCAGAAACAGGCAGCTATACACACATTGCTTATACTCAATAGAGTGCTTGGAGATGCTATCTTTGAGGTCAATACAACAGATCAACTCAAGCATGATATACAGCAATCTCAAGGCATACAGCAGTCTTCAAATCTGCAGCAATCATCAGATATACATCATTCATTAGTTAATCTGGATTTACATAATACGACTTAAAAGACTAGTACACAAAGCTCATCTGGAAACTTGTTGAGAAGAGGAACTATTTGCATGTAAAGTACAAGTACAACTAATACAGTAAAGGGGGAAATAGGTACCTTCTTTTCCGTGGGTTACAGGATGAGGTATTCTTTATTCTGATGTAATTCGTGAATATTTTATTAAAATAATAATAATAATAATAATAAATATCAGACATGGAAAAACAACACAGTTTACACTGTCACATCTCATGTACATGGACGACATAAAACTTTATGCATCCACACAAAAACAACTTCAACTCCTACAAATCACACACTCATACACTGAGGACATACAAATGGAGTTTGGCTTAGACAAATGCGAAACACTTCACATAGAAAAAGGAATCCTGAAGAAAGAAGATTTTGCACTTGGAAATGGAGACATTATTGAATCCATGGAAGAGGGCGAGTTCTACAAGTATTTAGGATTCCAACAGGCCAAACTAACAGAACATACACAAATAAAGCAAAGATTAATTAAAGAATACCAAAGTAGGTTAAACGCTATACTTAGAACACAGTTAAATGCAAAACACACAGTTAAAGCAATAAACACATATGTCATCCCAGTACTCACATACTCTTTTGGAGTTATACATTGGACTCACACAGATCTCGAGCAACTCCAAAGGAAAACAAGAACAACACTTACTAAGCATAAACAACATCATCCTAAATCCGCCACAGAAAGATTAACCCTTCCACGTAAAGAAGGCGGACGTGGCCTGATTGACATAGTTAACCTTCACTACAAACAAATACAGTCACTGCGAGAGTTTTTCTACAAGAAACAAGAAACATCACAGTTACATAAAGCAGTAACTCTAGCAGA